ACAGTATTAGGAAGCCTATAATTGTTGGTGGACACGACGATGCCCCCACAAGTTTTAAAAACCGTTGAGGTGATCACTGTCTCAGAGTGCTGGTTAGAACCTTAAAGTCTTAAGACTGGTCCCAGAGGCAGCAGGTCTTGCACAGGACACATGCATAAACTGTGTGGTTGTAGGCAACCGTGCCTATCATCAGTAGAAAGAGCCCCATTTAAAAAAAAAATTCTGCCTCTTAGATTGACTTATTTTGTTGGCAAAGTATCTTGAAAAGATTCACTCCAACCCTATTATTGTCTGTCCTGGAAATAATTATCCTCTTTTACTTTAAACATTGCATATCAGTGCATCATTTCCCCAAGCCAGTTGACCATTCACCAAGCTTTGACATTCTGCGTGGTAACAAACTTCCTTTCGGTGCTGTTTTGACAGCACACCTGCACTTATACACACACACACACACACACACACACACACACACACACACACAGCCCTTTTATGGAAGGGCCATTAGAAATCCTGTTTGAAGCATTTTAAATTCTGATTTTAGACAAGAGTCACAGGTCCAGATTCTGAATGAGAATTTAGCGAAACTTCATTTCAGGAGTTTTGTGAAAATTACAGATTGTGATATTGGTAAAGTACCTGCTATAATGTCTAGCACACGCTAAATTGCAGCTGCTTTTGTCCTTTGACATTGTCCATTCCTTGGTTTGTTACATGAATCTAAGGTTTAGTCACACTGTCATTAATCTTAACAAAGACATACCATTCTTCCTTTTAATTCTATCATGGTCCAGAGTGTTTAATTTTCTTTTCTCCTTTTCACTGTGACACTCAGGAATGTGTCAGATTAGTGGCCCTGGAGAGAGTCATGAATCACTGGTTTGCTTTCAGATAAAACACCTGAATCCTCCTACATATGTAGAGTCTTGCTTAGAGACCTACGCAGTTCAGATTCTGTTTTTCCTACCATTTACAAATCATTACCAGAAAAATTCTTCTTCATATCAAACACAAGTTACAGTGCAGGCTGGTATCCTCCGGTTCAGGCCCAGCGGAGGTGAAGAGCTCCTGGAGAATCCTGCCCTTAGATGAAGAGCTGTGATTCTCACCCCCTCCTCTCCCCCAGGCCCTGGCCTCCAGCCCCCAGTCTAAGGACCTGTTTTTAAATTTCAGTATACAGTAGTATACATTGTTAGTTTCGTAAAAAGTACCCACATATTTACTCAGACTTCTGTTAGATTATACCAAGTGACAAAAACAAACAAACAAACAATTGTTTAGTCAAATTCTAACAATAGACACTAAATTATGCATTTCCAATATATATATACACTGGTAACTCTGATGATCACTTTTTATTAACTACTGTGTTTGTATGCTCATTCTCTTTTACTTCTCAACAAGATAACTGTTTTGATACATTTTATTTACAGTTTTGAGATATTTTTCCATATTAAACCTCCACTGGGCTACATATAGGAAACAGTTATAGGTACATATTCTCAGGATTCAGGAGCTACATTGTAAAAGGGTCGATTCTGCCTAAGATTGGTCATGTTAATTCTCTGATTCCCACAAACTGAAGTATAAGCTGTTGAAAAAATACTTTAAGAAAGATTTATTATTTTCTAATAATTATTGGATATTGCAATAACACATTCCTTTCTGACTAGTACTTGTATTCATGGATGTAGTGCTATAAAATAATGCACCCTTATCATTTATATTTCTGGGTAGTTGAGTAAGGTAAGAACTATTTTTGATATGCAGGAGCAAATACTAAAACATCAGGGTTCTATGCACTTTCTGTCAGCAAAGATATCAACTGCCAGAAACCCCTGATAAGCCCCATTTCCAGCAAGCAGAGTCTGGATAATACCAAACGACAGGACAACAGTTAGTGCATGTGAACTGGCAGTGCTGCCAAACTGAATTACCATTCTTCCCCAAAATAAACACCCCCAAAGTTAAACAAAGCTAAGTCATCCATCTGCAAGGTATGTAGTAGGTTTAGCTAGTGAGAAAGAGACCTTTGAATTTGCTAAAGCAATTTTAAACTACTGCCATTTTTCCTAAGCCAGAGGTTGCAAAGGTCAAAGGGCAGCTTTAAAACATGATAACATTGTCTTGGAGTTGGGGACATATGGTGTTTGCTAAACAAATGGCAGACCACATGAGTGTTAGATGAGCTTTGCTCCTGCATGGATCTGCCCCAGCACAAGAATGCCTCTCTTATCCTGACTTTACCACTCATTTGCTGTCACCAGGAAAAGTAGTTTATAAACTCTTTGGACCTCAGTTTTTCCATGTGCAAAATAAGGAGACTGTCTCAGAGAGCAGATAGAGGATCTTGGTTCAAATGATCATTTCTTGAGAAAAAAAAAAAACTATAGTAAAAATTATTTTATTAACAGGTTTTGAGCCCATTTATTATCTTTTCTTCATGGACAAAGTGTCAAAGTTTTTCAGGTATAGTAAAAATTAAGTTTCAAGGAAGTGAATCTTTAATAAGAAATGTCAAGTGAGAATCAAAGTCACAGAAAAGATTTTCGTCAAAATCAAAAGTTTGTTGAATCAATTCAGCAATCAATAAATTGTTCGTATATCCTTTATTTTAGGTGTGTTGGTCTTATCTCCTCAACTGTTAGGTTGAATCATGAAATTGCATTTTTGGGGGGTAGGAACAGTCAAGTATCATCAGTTTCAGCCTATAGATGTGATCTCCATGGGAGCAGACTACAGTGCTGTATGCCCCTCCCTCATTCCTGTTTGTGCTTGGTATGACACTAGGCACATTTGTTCTATGATAATATATATTGAAAGTATTTTGGGGCAGAAAGTCTTTTTTGAAATCTGAGTGCAATGTATTATTTTAAAAATCAAAAAACTAAGACACAAAAAGTTCTCAAAATTGTTATTTTATTATTATTATTATTATTATTATTATTATTATTATTATTAGTTTCAGGTGTTCAGAACAATGCAATAGTTATCCTTTTCACCCCTCACAAAGTAACAACCCCCCTCTTCCCATCCACTGCCCTCCCACCCCCGATATCATGCTTGTCTATTACAATTCCATTGACTCCATTCCCACACTCTACTCCACATCCCGTGACTATATGTATATATAATTATAGTTGACATACATTAATATTCAACATCAGCTTCAGAAATACAGTGCAGTGTTCTCAGAATTGTTGTTTTGATGTTAAGAATGACACTAGTGAGACATAATAAATAGCGAGTCTTTAATATGTTTTGAATATTTTGCCTATCAGTAAAAGGTACGGGTCTGATAAGTTTTATAGGAGTAGTTCTTAGCAATTGAAGTTAGCAAAAGGAAATAAGGGTGATTCTCAAAATTCTAAAAATCGAAAGCATTGGGCCGGCCGAGTGGCGCGATGGTTAAGAGCTGGCTTGGGACGCCAGAGGGCCCCGGTTCGGATCCCACATATGAGGGCCAGTGACACTGCCCTCCACAGCTAAGATGCTGAACAACAGCTCAACCTGGAGCTGAGCAGCCATGAGTCGCGGGCGACGGCGTAGGCTGCAGCCACTGCTGCAGCGGGTTGCCATGGGCTACCGTATGTAGCCAGCAGCCAGCGTGAGCGGCCAGCAGCCGCAGTGAGCGGCCATCCAGAAGCCGGCGACTGATCTGCCTCGCCCGGGAAGAGCGCAATGATGGTGCCAACTTGGGCCAGTGAAGCGGCGTCCTCTACAACTAGATTGAAGAACAAAAACAACAGCAAGTTGTCTGTTCCCCTTCCCCAATTCCCCAGCACTGTTCCCATCCCCCCAATTCCCCAATAAAAATCTTTAAAAATAAATAAATAAATAAATAAATAAATAAATAAATAAATAAATAAATAAATAAATAAAAATCGAAAGCATTGTAATTTTGCCATTCTTGTTGGCAAAGATGTTAACATTTTGGAGGAAAAAAAATTTTTAAAGGATTAATGATAACAGGAAAAAATCCAAAGGGACATGGTAACAATAACACCAGAATATAAACATGATCTGAACCTGAAATATGATCTCCAAGTGTATTACTTTGCTGTATTTGATAAGCTTCAGTTCTCTAAAAGGAAGCAACCTCCACTTGTAGATTTAGTTACTGTTTATAGAAAGGTGTCATGGCTTAGCAAAATTAGAAATAGACTAAGTGCAAAGATATTTATAGGTCATGCTTTTGACTTAGGTCTAACACTGTGAAACCCTGCATTTTTTTGTGACATCGCTTCCATTTTAATTACAGAATCATCATATTTTTTAGTATCTGGTTTAATATTTGTCAATAACAGTTTATACTGAAACCTACAAAACCCCCAGTAGTATAGTACAGCACCCTGTCTTTATAAATGATGAACCTGAGGCCCAGTGAATTCAAGCAACTTTTTGTAACTTATAAGTCACAGAACAAGCTAGGACTTGGCTATCTGGTACACTAGGATGACTATTTTTATCATTTGTTCTCCTTATTTTTAATTGGGGAACAGTGTGTTTTTCCAGAACCCATCAGCTCCAAGTCAAGTAGTTATTTCAATCTAGTTGTGGAGGGCACAGCTCAGTGACCCATGTGGGGATCAAACTGGCAACCTTAGTATTATGAGTACTGCGCTCTATCCAACTGACCTAACTGGCCACCCCATTTGTTCTCCTTTTAATTGCAAAATCTTTGCCTCATGTGTATACCTTTCCAAAAATGGGGTGAAGATTAAGTAAATAATGCTTCTTGACCTAGGTGGTTGGAATGAAGTAGAAGATTTTTATTGACGTGACATGTTTTGTGAATATATTTATAAATTGTGTCCAGATTTGATAACCATTGAGCAAGCAATTGATACAGACCCCAGGACAAGTCTGTCACACGTTTACAAATTTGCCAGTTTTCCAAACCCTTGGAAAGAGCATCAAGAAAAGCTTTAAAACAAAGGCCTGTTGGATAAATGGCCTACATCTTATGGTTTTGTTTTGTTTTGTTTTTTTCCTGATAGAAACATGAGTTCAGCTGGCCCTGATGGGAGGAAATTGATGAGAAGGTGTGATGGACTGATTGACTCGCTGGTCCATTATGTCAGAGGAACCATTGCAGATTACCAGCCAGATGACAAGGTAATTCAAGAGTTAAATATCTTACATGTTGAATTACTTATTTTGTCTTATTAAGATTCTTCAGAGTATCCAATTTTAATTTATTGAAGTATAATTGGTAATGCAACAGAGTATTCTTGAAGTAACTGCTTGAGTTTAGCTTTATTCATCAACTCATTTGCTAAGGTTAAGATCCCATATATGTTTAGATATATTGAAATCTATCTGGCCCTATTTTTCTTGCTACTTTTCAGACCAAACTTCCAACTACCCATTTAAAAACTCTGTGGATATTTGAAAGGAGCCCAAATGCTACACCTTCGGCAGTGAACTTAAATTCATCTCTCCCCTCATCCCCAAACTTGCTCCTTCTCTGTATAATCCTTCTTAATAATTATCACCTCCACCAAATAAAAATAGAAACCTGGGTAATCTCAGACTGCCTCCTTTCCCTCACATCCCACATCCACTGAGCAACTAATCATGTCCATTCTTCCCCTGAAATGCCCTTTGGTTTATCCACTCCTCTTGACTGCTACTTCTGCTGTCCTAGTTTGTGCAACTTTTACACTGATTGGTCCCTACAAACAACATCTCCTCCTGTTTTCCAACTCCACATGACTACTAAGTTATGTATCTAAAATACAGAATCATTCTGAACATACGCTTTAAAAAGTAAACTAGAAAGGCTCTCCAGTGTTTTAAAAAATTCAGCCTTGTCTTCTTAGCATTGTGCTTATAACCATTCATGATCCAGCCTTAGCCTTTCTAGCCAGACTCATTCTACTCCCCCAGGCTCCCTATAGTCCAAGCATCCAGTAAACCTTGTAAGATCTAAAGCCAAAAAAGTCCTGTGATACCACACCTGCCAAAGGGATATCTATATGCATATGATGAATATTCATGTTCTGCTTTCTCAGGCCACAGAGAACTGTGTGTGCATTCTTCATAACCTCTCCTACCAGCTGGAGGCAGAGCTCCCAGAGAAATATTCCCAGAGTATCTATATTCAAAACCGGAATATCCAGACAGACAACAACAAAAGTATTGGGTGTTTTGGCAGTCGAAGCAGGAAAGTAAAAGAGGTATATCGGGAGCACTTTGAAAAATAAGTGTTTATGTGTGTATGTTCCTGAGTACTTAGTATATGTCAGGCACTGTTTTAGGTTCTTTTAATCCTTACACCACACCTACAAGGTGGAAGTAATTTACCCTCATTTACTGATGAGACAACAGGTACAGGAAGGTGAATCCGTTTTCCCAGACTAATTCAACAAATTAGTGGAGGGGATGGAATTCAACTCCAGGCAATCTGGCCCCAGATTTACCTGGTTAGCCTTTAAACCATGCTGGTTTGTGCCCTATTCATTAGGAAATAGGCACCATGCAACATGGCCAAAGGTATATAAATTTTTAACATTAAAAGCAGCCCCGATGTTTGGATTTGGACATTCTAAAAACAAACTTTGGACATCCTAAAGGCAAGCCCATAGGAAGGAATACTGTCCATGCTGGCATTTCATGAAAACTGAAAGAATGTGACCTCTGCTACTCCTCAGAGTATCATGGTGCTTGTGAACTTGGAGAACAGCTGGTAAATTTAGAATCCTGATGTGGTCCTGGGCCACTTCACTAGGCTCTGGGAGAAGATGCCTGTTGTTCTTATCTTCAGAACGCTTGGGACTAATTTAGCTTTTAGTTTAACAAGCAGCCTGAAAACTATTCTAGAACAGCTTCTGCTTAATTCTCTGAGTTCTTTCTCACTGCGAAATGTAAAGTTGGGGCATACGGGATGTTGCTAGGGAGAAATCGTCACGGGCTAAAAATTAAGTGATTGGAAATCATACAGATTTGCTTTTCCGTTTCTATTTCAAGGGCTTCTTATTATGAAAATTATTACTCTCTCTAGACTAGATAGTATTTCGATCTCTTGGTTTGGGTGTGGAACTGTATAGAAAACACTTAAAGGCATTAATTCTGGATTTCGTCATACGTGTGGTTAGCAATACCAGGACATGCCTATGCCAGAGGAAAAAAGCAACCCCAAGGGCGTGGAGTGGCTGTGGCACTCCATCGTGATACGGATGTATTTGTCCTTGATCGCCAAGAGTGTCCGAAACTACACCCAGGAAGCATCTTTAGGAGCGCTCCAGAATCTCACGGCAGGAAGTGGACCAGTGAGTATCATGCCTGTTTTTCTACTTTTTAAAATAATGACATTGTAAACATACCTACGTTAGGCTCAGAGATGACACAGTGAGGTAAGAGCAAATGTTTTCACACTTTAATCAAGACACTTTATAGGAATTGCCGGAGAGATTTGGAGCTTTCCAGGACTTTCAGCCTCAACTTCTGCCAAGCTGAGTCACTGCAAGTAAAAGACTCATAGAAACTGATACCAGTCAGAGTTCTTTCAGGTAAAATCTCAGAATACTATCTAAACTGGCTTAGGCAAAAAAAGAGGAATTTCTTGGCTCATATAACTGGCCCAGAATGGGTCTTCCTTCTGTCATGGTGCAACCTAGGTGCCCCAGGAATTATAATTGTGACTCTTTATCTCAGGGCTCTGTTTTCCAATGTTGGTTTCATTCTCAAAGGCTCTCCTCACATTGTAGCAAAGATAGCCACCTGTGACTTCAGGCTTACATTTTATCCAGTGCTCCCCCAAGAGAAGAAGCTACTATTTTCCCAACAGCCCCATTAAGAACTCAGAGAATGAGTCTCACTTACCCATTTCTGAACCAGTATCTGTGGCTAGAACTCTGTGATGCTCTGATTGGCCGGGTCTGGGTAATATGCCCACGTGTGAATTTCAGAGGCATGGGTTTCAGCGGGTGAGGGTCACTTCCACTTGTACCACTGAAATGGTAAAGGAGTAGCTCCCTAATGGAAAATCAAAGTGTTATTACCAAAAGGAAGAATGAATGCTGGGCAGGCAAACACAGCAGATGTTCACTGCAGTATGGAGTTGGAAAGGACATCTGTGCTTTTGTGTCCCAGAAATTCAACTACAAAATAAAGAACCGATCCTCTTTACAGATGCACTTACTATATACCAGCAAAGTCAAAATATATAAAACAGTAAAAGCTTATTCCCTTCCTCGTATTTTGCACCTTGCTACGTAGTTAGGGATTCTATAAATATTTAATTATTTGAACTAAGCTTATATTCTTTGCCTTGATCATAAAATGATTAGAATAAACTCCCCCAAAATAGTTCCTTGTATAGCCAGTCTCCAAGTATCCATCCTCATAGGAAAAAACACTCTTGTATATAACAAGAATATTATTTATTCTTTACTTAAGAAACCATATTCATTCTTTCCTGTGTGTACACAGAGGCGTGCTCTGTTTTGGATAAAATTGTGAAATACTAAAACCAACATTTATCTTAGCACTGTGGTTAAGAATATGACTAAACTTTTAATCTCTTTGATTTTCTGCAAAATGTTCCTGTGCACAAAGAAAAAAAAAAAAAATGAGGAACTACCAGGGAGCCCTGAATGAAACAGGGACATTATCATTTTGCCTTCCCATTTCCAACGCTAGGTTCCCAAAACCATTTCTTTCATCTTCCCAAACTACAGAAGCCCTCTTATTAACTACCAGCCAACTTACAAAAAAATGTCAGAAATTAAATTGTGTGTGTGTGTGTGTGTGTGTGTGTGTGTGTGTGTGTGTGTATTTAAGCTTGCTGTGCTCTGAGTATGGTTCAGTATGAGTGGAACCCTTTAAGCCTGGATTTTAGTCTCTTCCATTCCAGGACCGCTCATGGAATCCAAACAGTCATAGATGTAATTTATTACCTAGATCCTAAGTTTCTTCATTCATGTATTAAATAAATATTTTTTAGCATCTACTACATAACAAGAACTAACCTACTGCCAAGTATATAGTGGTGCATAAGACAAAATCCCTGTGTTTCATAATAACCTAGCTTGGATAAACAAATAAACAGAAATCTAAGTACTAGGAAATTCCAAATTTTAGAAGAGATCCAAGCAATGGAGATGTTTTCATAACTGTCTTAATTGTGTCAAGGCATTGAAAATAATACCTAACCTTAGACCAGTCCAATCCCCTAAAAGGCCTATACTAAACTGGTATTATTCCATATTCAAGGCTGTTAGAGTTGAACTTGACTGGAGATTTATAGGACAAATCATTAGCAACATGGGACAATGATATAAGTACCCTTTGTTCTTATAAATCATAAGATGCTTTTTATTAAAATTTTGACTTCTATGTATATCTTTTCTAATTATTACTTTTCCTAATTTTGTTATCCTTAGGTCATGTGATTAAAAAAATACTTGGTTTTATAATTTCTAAAAGGAATCATTAAATACAAAAACATGACAAGCAGGCCATTACACATAATTCCACAAAATATCCAGTCCATAAACCTTGTGTTCAGAGATAGTGCTGAGCAGTTGATGGCCACGTGCCTTAAATGACAACCTAAACAAATGAATAGCTTCCTAAAAGATAGATTATATAATTTAAGTATCAAATTATGACATAACTTCTAGTCAGTAAAAGTACATTAATGTAAATTTTAATAGTTCAGATATAATGGTCATTTTAATAATAAGTAAGGAAAGGGGATGGATCAATAAAATTTACCCATTTAGCAAACTAAGTACAGTATAAGGTATAAATTTACAAGTACAGTAGAAAATAAAAGTACAATATAAATTAAAAGATTAAGGTGCAAACCTTCAGGTATAAGATAAATAAATCCTGTGATATAATGTACAGCATGATGAATATAGTTCACAATACTGTATTCTATATTTGAAAGTCCCTAAGAGAGTATATCTTAAAAGATCTCATCACAAGAAGGAAAAAGAAAATATGTAACTATGTGTGGTGATGGATGTTAACTTGTGGTAATCGTTTCATAATATATACATATATCAAATCATTATGTTGTACACCTAAAACTAATACACTGTTATATGTCAGTAATATATCAATAAAAAAATACATAAATTAAACATCACATAGTAAAAGTTAAAAGTCATTAAAATAAAGTTTTCAAGTTTCTAAAACATTTTAAAAGCACTTAATTTAATATCTGTTGGAAAAAACAAAGCCTATTCCCTACCTCACACCTTACCAAAAATCAGTTCCAACAGCAATGAAAAGTCAATATGAAAGGTAGAACAATAAAGCTTCTAAATGGTAACATAGCAGGATATCTTCATGACCTGGAATAGGAAAAGATTTCCTAAAAGTGGACATAAAAAGCACTAACCATAAAGTAAATATTTTATAAATTGACTACATTACATTTAATAGTTTACACTATTATGCTATTATCGAAAGACAATGTTAAGAAAGAAAAAAGGCAAATCACAGAGTAAGAAAAGATTTTTGCAACATACATAGGTAACAAAGGTTGTTATCTAGGAAATATGAAAACCTCAAGTTAACAACAAAAAGATAGACAATCCAATAGAAAAATGGACAAGAGATTTGAACAGGTACTTCACAAAAGATAATATAGAAATGGCCAATACCCACTTGAAAAGGTGTCCATCCTCATTAGTGATCAAGATAGTATGAACTGTTGGGTTGTCAGGAAAGTCATGACACATTTTTGTATTGAAAAACATAGAAAAATACGTCATGATTTTCCTGACAACCCAATAAAAGTGCTATTTGCAAACAGTTGACCAACTAATTAACAGTCATTCTCACATATCCTCTAAAGCTGGGATATAAAACTTCTATCTGGCAAATCGGATTGTTTCTTTTCCTTAATGAGCAAATTCTAAAGACCATTCTACTTCAGACTTAAACTATTTTCCTCAATGGATCAGAATTCATAAGACTATGCTACACGTTCCCCTAGTGGAGCAAACATTATCTGAGGATCCAGACTTCATCTAGACTTGCATGTTTCCAATGGCTACTGTTAGATATTGTCATCAAAGGTCTTTGTTATATATAAGAATATAGAATTACATGGTAGAGTATGATCTACATAAAACACAAGATTTTAATTTTAAAAGAAAACGTTTTAAGAAATAAGTATCTTATGACTTCTTAATCTGTCTTGATTCTCACCAAGCACCTTCTAAGGTGATAGTAAAAATTCAGGAAAACTCGATGGCATATTTATTCATATGGTTCACGTCAATAAATATTTATATAGTACCTATCATGTTCTAGGCACCATACAAGGCTCTGAGGGAGAAAAAAAGATGGGTAAGATATACTTCCTCCTTTCAAGGAGCTTATGTTCTAATAGGAGAGATACATGGTTTTGTATAGTGGTGACCTAAAGAATTGGGGAGTAATGGTAAGGAAGGAGAGGGAAGAAGATGCCAGACTATGAAGGACAGTATGTGCCATGCTAACATTTCAACATTATTCTGAAGGCAATCGGAAGTCATTACGGGGTTTAAACTTGAGGTGGAATAATCAGATTAAATTTTAGAAGGATCATCCTGATGTAAGGCTTAGAAATCCCCACCGGTGTTAAAGAAACAGCAAGTTGACTAGCAGCGTTTGATTCCTAGTGGACATTAGAGACCATATATTTGCAGAAGTAGCAACCTGCGAACGCACTATTTAGTGATATTTGGTGACCAAGTATAAAATCAGTTTTGCAGTTTTAGTGGGTGGGTAGAAAATAAGCTATGATGATAAGGGTATTGAAAAGATAGTATGTGATGGGATGGTTTATGTACACTAATCTAAATAAGAAAGAAAGTTAAGGCAACAGAGAATTGATCATTTGAGGTGTGGGGAGTAAAGGTTGAGTGAGAGAAAGGGACTGGAGTTCTTGATGAGGCTGAAGAAGATACATGGTAGGAGTGAGAGGGAGAAAGAGCCAGGAGAACAGGAAGTTGTATTCAAGTCTAATATTGGAGTTTATGTTTTCAAAGTCAAGGTGTTTCTGAGTGAATACAGGTTCTGTGTGACCATGGCGGTGAATGGCCGATGTACGGAAGAGATGGAGGCAGTGACTTTTAGGAAGTCTAAGAAATGTGAGGTAATTAATGTGATCATCCACAATGCAATCAAGGTAGAGAAGGCTCTGAGCCAGGCTCCAAAGTCTCCAGTAGATGTTGGGAAAGGACCAGTAATAGGCCTCGAAATGACAGAAAGTGGGATGGGAATGATAGAGCTGGACGTCAGGGACGCAGAAGAGCAGAGCTTTGCATAGGAGGGCAGACATACCTATCTGGCAGGCCATCGGGAAGAGAGGAATGCGAAACCTACATCGGTGCCCAAGACACAGGCCTTGTACGGAATAAATAGCCTCTTCTCTGGATGGCTTACAGGGGACTGATTCCTCTCAGAAGAGAGCAAATAGCCTAGTGGTATGTTTTGCAAATTAGTGAAAGACAAGTTGTACCTTGTTTACAATAAAGCAAACATTCTAAAATAGTGGTTATTCAATAAAAGTTACGGGCCCTTTCCCTGAGAAAGTTTATTGGAAACACAAAAGTAGTTTGAAAGACCTCCTGTCCCCTCCATGAAACCTGTCCTGGACCATGTATTAAGAGCCCCTGCTCTAAAAGGTTCAGTGGAGAATGTAAGGAGGGGGACAATCTGCAGGAGGTAAGGGGGGAAAGAAGCAGTGTTTCAATAAGATAAACAGAGGAGACAGACACCCTGAAGAATGGTCATGAATTACAGGAATTTCTGGCATGGTGGCCTCAAATTAGCTTCAAGTAGAAATCTATAGAATTACCGACACAGGCTAAGGCCCCAGTATTGCTGGAGGTTTGTTGATCTAGGAAAGGTCTAGTTGGAACGCAGATCCCCTGAAAGTAGGTGTGACCAGCCTTATTCCAATAGGCTTTGCCTCTGGTGGACCCGGGGCTGGACCTAGACCAGCGGCTTGCATGTGCAGCCTCTGATACGGAGCATAGAATTACAAACAACCTAACTACCCATAATTCTTTTCTTTAAAAGCCCAGTATTTCTGTCAGAATACACTGCCTGTTTGGAAATGAATAAGTTTATGAAAACATGTAAAATGCCAAAATAAGAGTAAGAAGAAACAGGAAAGATGAGTAAACCACTGAAATAATAATGAAAGACATCTCCCTTTAGCGTTTTTTTTCAGCTCAGTTGGCTTTGCAACTAAATTCTACCAGACGCACAAAGTTGAGATTATTCTTGTCTAATACAAATATTTCAAGAAAATAGAAAAAGGGAAAACAGTACCCAACTCATTTTATGACTTTAGTGTAACTTTGATTCTACAATGTTATTCTTATATTCTTTATACAGTGATGAACTGAAAATGTGAATGAAAAGCAGACTGATCAAGAGAAAGGAAAGGAAAACACAGGCCCGTTTTATTTATAAACAGATGCAAAAAAAAATACTGACCAGATCCAGTACTGTACTTAAAAGTACTGCATAAACTGTTTCTATCCAGTAATTAAATTGAAACCCTAGTAAGAATTTGAAGAAAATATCTTTAGACTGATTTCATTACTTTAGGTTTTAAAATATCTTGCTCAATCTCTAGTAATCTTACGAAACGGTATTACCCTGAAGTCAAATGTGAATGTAATTATAGGCTGTGTCTCACAAAACAGATGCCAATGTCAGTAGCCCAGACAGTTGTCCAGAAGGAAAACGGCCTTCAGCACACCCGGAAGATGCTGCACGTTGGGGACCCAAGTGTGAAAAAGACAGCCGTCTCCCTGCTGAGGAATTTGTCTCGCAATCTTTCTCTGCGCAATGACATTGGTGAGTCTGCACCCGTGTCTAGGTGTCATGCGTACATATTGAAAATACAAATGCAATGAAACAGTGTCCTCACCACATTCTTTTTACAATGATAAACTGAAAATGTGAATAAAGAGCAAAATGTGATACACAGACCTGGCTTTCATGCACCCAAACATCAAGGGTAGGCTTTCTCTCTGGGTCTCCAACAGGATGTTTCTTAGTATCCAGCATTTTGTTTTTGTTTTGTTTTCATTACTACAGAAGAGAAGTTCTAGACCATACTAATAATTAACAAGTAATGTATTTGATCCTTTCAGCCCTCAACTATGCCTGCCATCCAATGAAGTCTTGACGCCATGCAGCTGTCTCTCTGCACAGCCTGCTTAAGCACCACTCTTCTAAAACATTAAACACACACACATACAGTAGTTGTTCACTTTAGAAGCTTGGCCACAGTTGGACTAGAAACATATGGATGGACAGATAATCATTTTTTAAAAAAAGGAAGAAGCAGTCACTGAATATAGCGGACTTTGCATAGATAATTTTAGAATAAATGCGATGAAACACATTTGCTCCTTTTTTTGAGAGTCTGTATTATTAACAAAGATGATAACTGTGTTCCACTATCAAATAACAGTTTTCATTTATTAACTTTATACCTAGAAATATCTGATAAACGTTTGTGGATTAAGTCAAAAGCTCTAAAATGAGACAATAGGAAGATAATGCTAAGATGAATCATGCTTCTTAATGCTCTGTAAAGTAGTCATTTCTGACAGCTTAAATTCAGTTTTTCACCAAATTTCACTAAAATTATGAATAAATTTTTTTGTTTGTTTTTTTAATGGGTTGGATTATTCTGAAATTACACACACAGCAACAGCAACGGCGGGTATATTGAAGTCCTGTGGTGATGTTTGAATAATGTCATTTCTAAAGACAGCCAACCGCACAACACTGGACAGGTGGTTTCATGCCTGTTATAAACATAAAGAGCCTAGAAATGTTTCGGTGACTCTGAAAGAAACCTGGCTGCAGGCACTCTCATAATTATGAAAGTGTTTCTCCCCATTGTTTTCTGTGGACTTTTGTGCTGCACTTCCATCAGGTGTATTATCCTTTGACTTCTTTATCTTTTCCTAAATGAAATGTTGACTCCATCTTTCAAAACAGTGACGATGAAAATAATTGCACTCTCCGCATTCTGTATGTGCCTTCAGGGCAGCAATGCTGTGGGTCTCAGGGTCTACAGTCCTCTAACTGCTGGGAAAATAAAGCTGTAGCGCCACAGTTTCTGTAAGATGATTTCACTGATTAACTTCCTCTCATTTTAAGGACAATAGTGAGAAGAGGCTTCAGCAAAATAAACCCAGTTTTTTAAGTTCCACACTGGCTTTATGTCAAATATATAATTTTAATATAATTATATTGATTTAGCGTATTAATAACCAGGAATAAGTGAAAGTGAGTTTTAAATACATGCTTTGTGTTTCTCTTGAGAGACTTCTAAGCCAAAACTTTCCACATGCTGACCTAGAATGCAGTTATCACATTTTACTTCGATTTATAGTAATAAATTTAAAACTTACATTTTCTTAAAAATTTGAAAGTAGGCAATTGAATACAGTGGCAGAATAATGGACTTCATACAGAAGACATGGATCTACACCCTACAATGCTACTTTGCCACCCATGTCACTTTAGCTAGTCATTTAACTGCTCTAAACAAAACAAGATTAATAATTACTACCTAACAGTGTCTTCCCCAGGATCAGATGACACAATGTACAGTATTTGCAGATAGCAAGAAATATTTGGATAAATCTCTAGAATCTCAATTCACATTTATTAATTGTTACAAATGTTTTCAGATGACCACCTAATGTCTTGGTGTTTTAAGGCATTGAGTTCAGGCATTAAACAAAATCTCCCTCAACAATACGACATTGAGCTATAACCCTGTAATATCATGATAAGGCCTTTAATTTTATATTTCACTATAAAGATCCAATTTTAATTGTCCCAAAGTGAATGTATTTATGAAGGCACACTGTGTGTGTGTGTGTGTGTACATGTACACACATGCATACATGCGCATGTGTGTATACACACACACACAAAGAGTGTGCAAGAAAAATGTAAGTACATTTTAAGAAAGGAAAAAGCTACTAAAATTGCAATACTCAATAATACTGATAACAAAAGATGAATACAAGTCACATTTGACTTCTGCAGTTACAAGAGGTGCTCAAAGTGGTTACCATCAGCGTAATTTTAATACAGTTTTTTTCCTTTCTTAGAATGTATATGCATTTTTTTGGCACCCTCTGTATGTATGTGTGTATAGTATATATACATATATAATATACTACATATATATATATATATATATATATGTACACACACACACAGAGAAGAAAGAGAAGCATAGAGAGACCCTCCCTTTACTATATTCTAGTTAAGCTTAGTCGATGTAAACAGTTACACTACTTTTCTAAGAAAAACAAACATGATACAAAATGTGGAAGACTATCTTTCCTAATTCTCACTCCTCCTTAGATATGACCCTGCGTTTCAACCTTAAAATTGATCTACACAATGGACATTCTTGCTGGTTTTGAGGAGGAGAGAGGGGGCTGTTTGTCTCATCAGGAACCATTCTCAGTGTGGACACCCTGGGTCTCCACAGCCATTACCGCACCCTGCAGAGAGAAATCGATTAGGCATTTTCTGTTGTGATTGTCCCAGACTTATTTCTGTGTCATTGATGTAAATTCAGTGGAAGGAATACTCATGTTCTCAAGGCCTTTAATTCTCTGATTTAACTTATTAAAAGGAAGAAGCCTTCCGAAAATAACTCATATCTACCAAGAGCTGAGTAGGGTAGGGTACTATGATACAGTTAACATGTATTAACTTGTTTAATCCCTGAAAACAACCCTATGAAGTAGGTACTTTTATTACCCCATTTTACAAATTAAGAAAATGCAGCACAGAGAAATAAAATCATTTGGCCAGACCACACAGCCATTAAGTGGCAAAGACAGGATTGAAACTAAGGAAGCGTGGGTTCAGAGGTTGGGATCCGAGCTCTTAACACTATACTGTGATGCTTAAACAACAGTAAAAAAGAAAGTGCTCTGGACTTTGAGCAGAAGGTATGTCTTTCCTGTCAGGTGCAAAGATTATCAAAGGATGACATATTGTTGAGTGTCTTTTAATGAGTACCTCTCTGTTTTAGGCATAGTGGTTGATGCTGGAAATCCAGAAATGAATACACTAAGTGTCCTCAGAGGACCCCATTGGAATTCAGACAGGCACATAACTAATTACAGTCCAGAATTACAGAGAGAGAAGTGCAATTCCAGGTGCCACATAAGCTCATATGAAGAAATTAAATTAAACTGAAGTACTGTACAACCACAATAAACACAACACTGTATTAAAGATCAGTGAGGAGCCACAAAAGCAAGAGAAGCAAGGAGCGTGCTCTCTGTCCTTTAAGGGGAGTCCAAAATAATCAGAGAAAAAAGAAGAAAATGTATGAAAAGAATATTGTAAAGAATCAAGTACAAATTCATATTGCCCAAAATATACACCATAGGACAAGTTATAATGAAATCATCAATTATTAATACCTCTCTTGTTACTACAAAAGAAAACCAAATTAAAACAGTATTATCAAGAACTTACATACATAGTAAAATAGTAAAAAAAATAAATTTAAAATAGTCTCTTTCTCTTTTTTTAATAATAGTATTATTTGTGCATTAAAAGAACTTTGGGCAGTACAGATAATTTTTTAAAAATATTTTTAGGTCACCATTAATACTATTGTAGAAAAACAACTTCTATTAATATTTTAGTGTAATTCTTCTAATGTATCTTATGTGCTTTCTTCCCTAATTGTATATTCTTTATATAAATAAGTATACAGATTTTTCATATAGAATAATAAATATTTTTTTATTATTTATATGCTTCATAGATAGGTTTTAAGATGCATAATATTCTTTGCAGATGTATTTTAGTTAATTATATTCTATTATTGGGATATTTAGGGGTTTTATAATTTTTCACTTGTATGTAATACTATAATAAAGATCTCTGCCTAAAGCTTTTTCCATTTTTAAAGTGATGTCTTTAGGGTGAATTCCCACAAGTAGAATTACTGAATCAAATATGAATGTTTTTAAAATTCTTGATATTTCTGTCAAATTGTTTTCTGAAAAGATTTCCGATGTATTGAGCAGAGTATCATCTTTTAAATATTCCTTTTAAATTTTGAGTATTAGAGAGGTTACATCTTTCCATATACTTGCATGTCCTTTCTAAAATGTTCTTTACCCAAAATGTATTGGGATCTTGAGATTAAGAAACAACCTTTTTAATCAGGTGTTCTTTTTTGTTTCATTTTGTAGCCAAAGAAACTCTACCTGATTTGGTTTCCATAATTCCCGACACCGTTCCAAGTACTGATCTTCTCATTGAAACTACAGCCTCTGCCTGTTACACATTGAACAACATAATCCAGAATAGTTACCAGAATGCCCGGGATCTTCTAAACACTGGGGGCCTGCAGAAAATTATGAGCATCAGCACAGGCGATACGTAAGTCGTTTAGCCTCTGCCCATCGCATCGGCTATCTCCCCTTCCCCCACCACCTCCTCCATGTGTAAATCTAGTTGTGAATATTCAGTCGTTGAGTACCATGGGCAACATGGCCAAAAACAAGATTGTAAAGCTAGGCCAGATCACCTGCTCCAGTCCTTCGTGATCAATCAAGTTTGAAAAACTGAATCCTCTAAATAGTTACCCATTCTCTTTTAAAGTATTCAGATAGTCAAACTCCATGGCTTCTCTGGGTAGTGCATTCCAGCATTTTATTGACCTAATGAATTAATTTGTTTCCCAGAACTATAGCTGTGATTTAAGAACAGCAGAATGGAGACAGGCTGGGAGTCCTACAGACAGGGAATGCCCTTTTCCTCACTTAAATCTGTGGAGCCACTGTCAACCTAGGTGGCTTAGAAGAAGCAGTGATAACACAGGAAGTGAGGCAGTATAACAGGAAATTCTTGCTTTCTTAATTTCCTCCATCACATCTCTTTTTATTCCCTTTTGAGAATAGAAGGTTTCACACATATACGTCATCCCACATCCCTGTTTCTGTCTTTAAATTTTTTCCATTTAAAAAAAAAAAATAGGTGAGGAAGAGCATGAAAAACTTTGTGTAACCAATTTACTGTTAATTAATGTATAGAGTGATGGGATATGAAAGGTGCATAAAGATTATCTTTTTCTCTTTGTACAATTCTGAATTGTTTGACTTGTTAAATATAAGTTAGTTTTGTAAATAACCAAAAAAGAAATGTTATACCCCAGTTCTGATGAGTTACAAAGCAAACGGACTTCACTTGTAGTAGACAGACACATGCCTGGGCACACAGGTGAGCTTAGGAGTCTGTAGTATCCTGAAATGAGCACACGTGCCCTCTACCACAGCCCCACCTGGTATAGACCCCTTGTGCTCTGCAGGCTCCCATCTGGCAAAGCCCACGGGAAAGGAAGATCACATTCAGAGTCACATGACTAAAAGGAGCACTGGTTAGAATGTCAGTTCTCCAAGAACAGCTAATACGCACCTATCCCAAAGCATGGCAGATAGCAGTTGCACAGCCTTTGTGGAAAGAATGAGTTATTGCTGCAAAACAGAAATGACTATTCCAAGTAGTTATCTAACCTTCTAAACTCTTCTCCATAAGACCATAGGGTTTTAATTATTAGAGCATTCAGACGTAACAAGCAGGTGGGAATACACCATCACTTTTGGAAACTTCTTATAGTTTAGCAACATACAGGATGTGCTGCTCTGTGACTTCTTTGTTGCTCTGGCTGTCCACTTGTGAGCCAGTCTTCATATACCCCATCTAAAAAAATAAAAAAGTTAACAAGGCGCTCCTACCAATTCTGTGTGCTGCTCCTTCCTTTCTAGAATGTTGTATAGCTGACCTGTAATTTATGGGTGTCAGCCTAAATAGATACACTGATACAAGTTCAAATGATCAAAATTTGAGTTCGTTGTGGAATAGCAGAGGAATTGCAATTTGGAAACATGCTGTAGGAAGCTGCTGGGGAACCTGCTGAAGCTTTGGGGTGGGCTGTATTTATGGGCAAAGAGTGCAAAGAGGAAGAGGCCCATCCAGAGTCCAAGCAGTAGCTTCATTGGCTTGTCAATATGGAGGGATTCTTGGAGGATGTTCATTGGTCAGGAGATAAGTTTAGGTCTTCTGTACATCAGGTGTTTACAGGAAATCTGTCTCTCATTTCTGAAGTTCCGTTCTTTTCAGGGGGCATGCATGACATTCTCCATTTCTTATCCTTCGGTTCCATTTTAGATTGAAGTCCTTTCACATGGGATGGGCTGGGAACCAATGATCATTTACAACATTTTATCTTTAAATAAATGAGTTCCCAGTGAAACCAGAGGCCAAAGGAGTCCGGGGCGCTTGCAGCCTGCACCGCTCAGCCAATAGACCAACACAGGAGTTGGGTCATAGAATAAGCATTTATTATCAGAGCACCGGTGGTCTGAGAAGGCAGCAGGTTAACAAATCCAAAAACTGCCTTAACATTCTGAGACCAGCCTGGGATATTTAAGGAAAAATCTGCTCATTCCTCCAGAGGCCACGTGATGGTTCCGGGGGTCTGCATGGAGCGTTCTCTCAGGAGATGTGGCTCTCTAAAGTGGTCATCAACCCAGGAGCAGTGATGACAGTAACCTGGAAAGAATGCTAGGCCATAAAGATTGTAATCAGTGGGGTGGGGGGAGGGGAACATTGTGACTAGGACTAGTAAGCAAGCATAAGTTTCAGGGTAATTATGTAAAGCAGGGAACCGGGACAGGGGACATCTAAACTCAGGAACTGGGACATTCCAAACTCACACTGCAGGGAAGTGTTTAATCAATTTTTAAGCTCTTCAACTCTAGGGCAGGGAGAGGTGAGGCGAGGGACATTGCAAGACCTCTTTTGTGGGGGTTCCCAACTGGGCCCTGTTTCACCAGTGTCAAAAAAAACAACTTATAAGCAAACTTTATGACAATGACACCCTTGAGAGAGGGAGGAAAAATAATTTTCCCTCTACCCCACTAGTTTCGTGGCTGAGACACCCCTGTTATAAAAAGACAGTTTAACAGGAGAAAAACTAGTTTAATAACATGTATACCTCCTGAATACACTCGAAAGACCCAGGAAAACTGAGTAGATCCTCAAAATGACCCAAGCCTCCATCTTAAATAATATCTCCAGCTAAAGACCAAAGATGTTGGGGTTGGGGAAGTGGCCAGTTATGGGAGGTTACCAGGAAAAAAGGCAGTAAACTAGGATATGGTTGTTATGCACATTTACATCCTTATCTTCTCCCTTGATTAGAGTTTCTAAAGATTTGGAATCACCTTTCACTCTCTGCTACAGAGGGGGAGACACTTCTCACAAATGGAGATTTCCCTTATAAGTGAAAATGTCTCTTACCAAAGGGTAGCTTTTTGGGTTTTCAGAGCTTTTCCTATGTCTGCTGCTTCTTTAAAATAATCAGCCTAAAATAATTTTTATGCCAAAGAGTCATATTTTGGGTTGGGATATTCTGCTTCCCTTCATTTGCCATTTAAGAATTTTTTTCCAATTTTCAGTATTAAAGACCCATAGCTTTCATAGACTTATTAGTACTTTGGTTATAAGCAAGCTACTCTGAGAAGTCCTTGAGGTACTAAAAAAAATCTGGAAAGTGCTGATTTAACTTACCCTCCCTGCAAGGTTGGTATGAAAGAGAAAGAGCCCAGCATGAGCTTCTCGGTACAGCTTTGCATTCTCTGTTCTTGGCTGCGTGTTTAAAAATCCCTGTGAGGAAAAATAAAAGGTTTGTTTCTTTGTTGAAAGAAAAAGTTCAGCCATGCGGTATAGTTCAGGTGATAGAAGAAAAAGAGATCAAAGAAAACATTTTCCCCTTAGCCAGAAACAGGAAATTTAGGACACATTTTAAAGCAGAACATCAAAAACTAAATACAATGTCAAATTCAGTGGTAACTTGGATTTAAAACCAGGATATAGCCTCCATTTGCTCTATACAAAAAAAAATTTTGAAACTATTTTAACAAATTCTCCAGCAAGAATTTATTTTATTAACTTGAAAAAATTACCCCTACCTTCATAGATTCACCAAGTCTAAGAAGTATATATATATACATTTTTTTTTCAGTCATACTTTCCTGCATTTGCATTCTATAAATATATACTATAAACATACAAATATATTTCTATTCTATAATAGACAATATAAATATACAAATGGAAATTGTATTCTATAAATAAATTCAAGGGTTTGTAACATGTCTAAAATATATTCCTTGTAAATATCAGGAATTTGCTCCATAAACTATTTGTTAGCCCTATGCCAGTGGTTTAAAAAAAAAAAAATTTATTTTTTAACTTTTTTTTTTTTTAATTGTTAATTTTATTGGGGAACGGCCATGGTCATTGGTTACATATGCTACAATGGCATAGTTGACTCTTAAGGAGGGAGCAGCTCACAGTGGCCCATGAGGGGATCGAACTAGTGCCACGCTGTAATGGACTGAGCTAACCGGTCACCCCTAAAAAGATTTTTTAAAATAATTTTCTTTAAAAGTGGCCCCTTGGCCTCTTTAAATTCCCATTTAATTATCTTGTCATTGTGAGTGGCTCCTGAGCAACGGCAATTAAAGATTGAGGGGACTTCCAATGGCCACACCCAGAAGCCTTACAGGTTCTCACTGAACTCGGAATGTCCTTTTCTTCGTTTCAGCTATGCTTCCAACAAAGCGAGTAAAGCTGCTTCTGTTCTCCTGTATTCCCTGTGGACGCACACGGAGCTCCATAATGCCTACAAGAAGGTAAGAGTGTTTAAAAGACGTGTGGCATGGCTAACAGAGCCGGATCATAATGGCCCTTGGACCAACCCTGATGAGAAATCACTAAGAACTGTATCTTTTTGTGTGAAAAATGTTGATACCTTTCACGTTTTTCTTTGCTTATTCCAAAGGCTCAGTTTAAGAAGACAGATTTTGTCAACAGCCGGACTGCCAAAGCCTACCACTCTCTTAAAGACTGAGGAAAATGAGAAAGTACTCTCAGAAATGCCAACCTCACCATTCTCAGCCACAAAAAAAAAAGTCCCTAAGGAAAACACCTATTTTTCTACTTCCCAGTCCAAGAAACCTAACAAAAGGCATGCCTTGTTTTTATCCTTTTTTATTTCTGACGCCCCAGAATCCAGAACACAAATAATCAGAATATAATGTTATCAGTCTTCCAGAAGATTTTTACAAGTTTGCCACCTATAGATACTGGCAACAGGCTCGACTTTACCCTCTGCAAATAGTAGTAATCAGAGTTTATGGTGCATGGCCTCCTGGAACCAAAATGTGAATTCATGGGGAACGGACTCAATAGAATAAATAAGGAAATACTACTGTTGTAGTATTGCTAGGATTTTAAAAGTTTGATTTACATTTATATTTTCTGGTTTCCATGTTTTATCACTCATATGCACATTGCTTCACCATTGAGCCATGAGTATATTGTTCTGCAGTGTTGAAACAGAATGGAAATGATAAATATTTGTTTGTTTTTTACTTTGTGCTTTTTTAGCCTCTTGAATTTTTTTTCTCTGATTTTAAATGAACTTAAGAAATTTAGATCACAGAGCATGCATGACTGTAAGAAAAAGAAATTGAAAGGTAGTTATCATAGCAGATTTAAAATCTTTTCCACAGAGAAAGGCAACTATGGTTAAGAAATTCAGTGTTTCCTCTGAACACTGCGAAAATGGGATTTTTTTTGCTCAAGGAAATACTTTATGTATAACAACAGCATTAAATGCAAATCTCTTCTGAATAGTAGCATTCAATGAAATCTATTTCCTGGGCTTTTTCAGCCACTACAATGAGCTGGTGGAAAAATGGATTCAACATTTAGCTACAAAAGGAACCAAGGCCTCTCCAACTGTTGGGCCAGCCCAGGGCCCTGAAAACAGATCATTTTAATGAATTACATTATCAACCATCCCAACTTTGCCCAACATTTAAAGCATAGCACAGAGTCACTAAATCTCAAGTAATCATTCTAAGCCATTATTTTAAGTCAAGGAAACTCTAGAGAAGAAAAATGAAGAGGGAAAATGTGTATGCCACTCAGAAGTGCTATGATAAATACTAATTTTTGAAAGTTGACATCATCAATTGAAGCAAATCTATATTAAGTGTTATTTTAAATGGACCGTGGTTAATACTATTCATATAGAATTAGTCTTCTCAATTACAATTCTGTTATATTTTGCTTTCTAAAAAAAAAAAAAAAGTCTGACAACATTTGTTATAAGAAGGAAAAAGATGTTCATCTCCTTGGCCAGAAAAGAAAATAAATCCCCATTTTCAATTTGAATGTGCACGTAAGTCTTTGTTATATTTAGAACTTGAAATTCTTTCAATTTTAAAAGCTTAATGAAGACTTAAGTTACTAACATAGATCAAATTGAGATCCTTTAGATACCAATTTTTAAAATACTGCAGAGAAAATTTTTTCCAGAGTTTTGACAATAAACATTTGGAGTATATTTATTTCTCCTGATAAATGATGTATGTTAAAGAAGTTTCTGTGGTTTTTAAGGCATCAGTAGAGCCTTCAATAATATTAAACACAAAATGAGGCCAAAATTACGTTGCCTGCATTGGTATCTGTGTATATCTGATTTATTTGTGTATCTTGATATATGTAGTATGGTTGACATACATTTGAGAATTTGAGCCATATAAACTTCAACTTTAATTACTAAGAGTTTAATACTTCGTAATTGCTTGTATTTCTTCCCTAAAGTTCTAAAATTTTTACCAGGAAACACTTCCTGTAAGAAAGATGGACCAGCCAGTGACTAAAACATATAAAAATGGAGAGACATATAAATGCACTAGCTATTGTTTGATTTTAGTAAATGGAGGGGGACCGTGACCACAAAAAATACACTGTGTTTGATCTCTGTTTTGCTTTGTCATTCTGTTTACAAAACTTTGTTACTTTGCTATCTGTGAAAACCACTGAGGGGAGATCCTTGTATGTTTGAATATCAGTTTTGATCACAGGTCTACACTCAAAGCTCTTTCTTTTTTTTCTCCCATGTACCCCAAACCATGCCCATGTCATCAAAGGAACTGATGGGCTGAGCTGAGCCTTTCCAATTATTTGTGCTAAGAGTTCCAAAGGTCTCCTGCCTTGTCAAGAATTCTTAAAAGTCTTCCGGAATATGGGATATTGCTGCCCTGGACTTCTGTAACTGGAAACATTTGTCTATATCTGGTGGAAATAACTAAAGAAATTATCTCACAAAATAGAGAGGTGATTAACATATCAAATGGGAAAAGCAGCAGCACAAGTAGAAAACCCTTTAAAACCAATGTAATCACCCTGTAAAGAAGCAATTCCCTAGAAGAAAAGGGAAATATAAATATATATGTATATTTATATTTATAATTTATATATGCTATAGTTATAAATGAAATTTGCTGTAAATAACATGTATAATGAACTTCCTGTATTGGAATGAGAAGGACTTCAGTATGTGTGTATTTTGAGCAAAACTGCAGAAGCCTCGCATCACAGAATTGGAGGATTAGAAGGGAATTTAGCAGACATGTGGTCAAGTCCTCCACAAAGTATCTTCTTGTGTCAGAAAAGACTCCATTCTTATGAACGTGACAGAGAAGAAAAATATATAATCATTCATTCAGCCAGATCCCAACATGACCCTGTCTCCCGCTGGCCCATCTTAAGACTCAATATCTGTTGTATTAACGTATTTGTTGTGGGAAGGAAAATAGATTTTTTTTAAAAGGAAACGTTTCAAAATAAAATTCTGCTTTAGGTTTAACATTTTAGTTTATAGTGGTACTGACAGTTTTATCTCTTTGAAATAAACTTCTACCTTTTAACGACTATAAGGAAAAGAAAACTTGCTTTTTTATGATATATTCATAGGAAAGAGATATCAGAATGCCACACATTGGCATAAGAGCTGTTTAAAATACGAGCAGAAGGGAAAGCATTCTGAAAGCCATAGTTTGGGAGACATAGTTAAAGAATCCAGCAACATTTAACCTGGAGAAGGGTGCTGTGTTACCTGTAAGTGTGTGTGTGTGTGTGTGTGTGTGTGTGTGTGTGTGTGTGTGTGTGTGTGTGTTTATTTATTTTTTACATTTTACACATGAAAATAACTTGAAGCAGAGAGAGGCTAAGTCACATTCCAAAATCACATAGCTAGTTAGTGAAGAGGGACCATATGAACCTAGGTCAGGTGGCTCCTTACTGGGGGTTCTGTGGAAGCATGTGTGACAGACTCATGTCTCCATGCTAGGGAAATGTGGGGATCTCTTTGGCCTGTCTCTCTCAGGAGAATTAAGATGGCTATCTAGCAGTGGTTAAGAGGACTGATTCTAGAACCAGCCAGCTTGAGCTCAAATGGTGACTTCTCTACTTACAAGCTGGGGTAAGTTTCTTACTCTCTCTGAGCCTTATATGTTAATGATAGCAGTAGTTACCTCACTGGGTTGTTTTGAGAATTACATGTCTTTTTAATTATAAAGTACTTAAAATAGTGCCTGATAGTATGTAAATGCTAACTAATTTTTTTGGAGTTCCCTGGTTTAGGGGGGTCTTTGCTTTTCTTTTTAAATCCATCTCTTAAATTTCTCTTTTCAATATAGTTGGTTCAGTTTCCCCTCCCCTTCCGTTTTACACACACACACACACACACACACACACACACACACACACACACACACACACCCATCCCTTGGAAGGCTAGGCAGAAATGAGAAAAATAAATGTGGCCCAGACAAGTGATTCTGAACATGTATTCCTCAGAACACAAGCCCTTTGGAGTATTTATAAGTGTTATGTGAAAAGGAACTTCTCATAACTTAAGTAAGTTTGAGAAGGGCCGAGTTATACAAAGATGGAAAATATCTTGACTGTTAGAGCATTTGAGATCCTGCTCCCCAGCATATGTTGCCATTTTGGCTCAATTAAATTCTTCTAAAAATTAAAAAGAAAAGAGAGAAGGGAGGGAGGGAGGGAGGAAGAAAGGAAGGAAGGAAGGGAGGAAGAGAGAGAGAGAGAGAAGAAAAGGTCTTGACTGTTAAGACCTCTGAAGTCTGTTTCATCTGATATAAGTATGGCTACACCCGATTTTCTCTGGATACCATTCGCTCCAAGTATCGACTTCCACCCTTTCACCTTGATTCTGTCTTTGTCCTTGTAGCTGAGATGCGTCTGTTGGAGACAGCATGTGGTTGGATTTTGTTTTTTGATCCAATCTGCTAACTCTATGCCTTTTTATTGGTGAGTTCAGTCCATTTACATTTAGGGTGATTATTGATATTCTGTATGAGGATTTCCTGAATTCATTTTGTCTTTTGTTTTCGGGTATCTTGGTGTCTGCGTGATTTCTTTGCCTTTTTGTTGCTGTTATTTTAGTGTGGTGCTATTCTATGATTTTCCCCTCTGTTCTTTTTTTATGGTATATATCTCAGTTCTGGACTTTTTTTGAGTGGTTACCATTAAGTTTATGAAAAAGAAAACTTCATATATACAGTAATCTTTTTTCTTCAGCATGCTTCTTATCTCCATTCCCCTTTGCAGATTCAGACCTTTACTCTCTCCCCTTTTATGTTTTTGTTGTCACAAGTTGTCCCTACTTATGCTGTGAGTTGATTTCTGAGTTGCAGTAGCAAGTTGTCTTTTTCTTCCCTTTTTCCTTTTTCTTAATGTTCTTATCTTCTTTATCCTTTATGTTATATCTAAGTGTCTAGTGCCCTGTTTTGTGTAGGGGTTGCCATTTCCTGCTTAAGTCTGTCTGTTCGTAATATTGCTTATGGTTTTGTATTCTTTTGGTTTTTTGTTTCGGGTAGAATAGCCTCCTTCAGTATTTCCTGTAATGCAGGTCGTATGTTAGAAAATTTCCTCAGGTTCTGTATGCCTGGAAAGGTCTTTATTCCTCCTTCATATCTAAAGGATATTTTTGCTGGATATATTATTCTTGGCCCATAATTTCTCTTTCACTGTTGATGTGCTTTGTGAAATCTCCAAGAGGGATAGAGTAAGCTGCATGTCTCAATCCTTTTGTTTAAATCAGTAAGCCTTTTTTTTTTTAGATGACTCATGAAGAAGCTATGCTTCTGTGTTAAACACCTTGACCCAACAGGGATCAGAGCCATAGGCAAGAGGACAAAAGTTATTTATCTGGTTCACAGTCTAGTCCAGTTCATCTAGTCACGAACAGTTTTTTAGTAAAATCTGAAAATCAGTGATTTCAATAGATTGAGGACTAGTTCCTGAACCTTTTGTTTCATTCCCACCTGGAGTGCTACTAATCTACAGACAGGAAGATAACTCAGAAGGTTGTCATTAGCCCAGAAAAGCAGGTTGAGACAGTGAAAGACATCCCTACATCCGGCTGATCAGACGGCCTTATAAATCTCACATCAAGAAGTTAAATCTCTAAGAAGCCTGAATTTCACCTGTATGGTGCTAACAGACAATACATCTGGCAAGCAGTAAAAAACAAGTACAAACTGTTGCACCTTTTTTAAACCATAATAGGATGTTCTTCCCAGTAACAACTAATCCTTTAGGTGTTTTTTTTTGTTTTAGAAAAGGGGTTTCCATTTTTACATACATGTACTGAGCTCTTATTCCTGGAGCGGAGGACCAGCGAGAGGCACCTTTATGAGGAAGTGCACTCAGATCCTAGTGAAACTGACTTCATTATGATGGACGCTGTCACAGTTTAAAGTATACGTTGCTTTACCTGGAAAATGAAAAGTCATCAGCTGTATGATGAGAGTTAAGGAGCTCTAAATCATAAGGATCTTCTGGAATAGGTATCTCATAAAATAAGAAATGATTAGAATGAGAAGCAGAGAATTATTAAGAAGACACCTTCATTTTTAGCCAGGAGTTATAAGAATTGACTACTTGTAATAAGAGTGCCTGAAAATTCTAATATTTAGAAAATTGACAAACATCTTTTTTCCTTAGGAATTTGTTTCTTTTACGCATTGCTCTAGTTGTATATTTTTTAAGTTCCTAATATAAAAAAAAAACATAAAAGTAATCTATTTATGTGGTATTGCCTAAAGAACTTTTATAAGAATTATGTGTGAACATACTAAGTAACATGTTCCCACTTCTCTTGGTGGCTTGTACCTAAAGTGACCCAATTCCTCACCTCATGTTCTATTGGGTTGTCAGAAAAGTCATGACACAGTTTTGCAATGAAAAACATAGAAAAAATACATCATGACTTTCCCAACAACCCAATGTTTCTCCATATCACTTAGGATGCTTTATTTGCATTTGAAAATCAAAAAAAGTTTAACTCAAAATGGTTTAATCAAATGTTTTTATTTTAACATAAGACATAAAGGTCTTGTAACAGGAAGACCAGATTTAGACTGAGGCGTGGTTATTTCAGCAGCTCATTGAAGTTATCAAGCACCCAGATTCCTTCCATCTTCCTGCTCTGCCATCTTCAACATGTCAGCTTTTGACAACTGGTTGATTATTTCATGTTGACAAAATGGTTGCAGCAGCTCCAAACATTTCATCTTCACAGAGCCATGCCCAAAGGCCAAAAGAATAAACATTTCCTTTCTTCCTTTTTTCAATGAGGAAATTTTCCCAAAAACCTCCATCAGACATCTCTCACTTCATATTGCCCAGAATTCCATCACACGTCCATTTGAAAATCAATCCTCGTGAAAAAAAAAATGAAACTATTCCTTTATTAAACCAATTACATCTCGCCCATGACTGGGCCTACCTCTCCTGAGCCTCATGGATGGTTATACTTAAACAAAGTCAGGGTTTTATTGAGCAAGGAAAAAGGACTGCAGAGTAGTCACCAACATTGCCTGCCTTATGTAGGGACACTCGAAGAAAGAATTCAACATTTTTTAGCAAACTGACTTCATCTGGCCTGTACTTGTTCTTCCAAAT